TCCTCTCCTCTCCTCTCCTCTCCTCTCCTCTCCTCTCCTCTCCTCTCATATGTATGGCAGAGAAATACAGCCAACAGAGATCCTTCCTTTACCATCTGTCTTAAGAAGAAAATGGGAGCAAATTATATTATTCCTATACCCTATGTGAATTTTCAGTCTCTTATTTCAATCAGAACCAGTGCCTTAGTGGAAAACTCAAAAACAGCTCTCCTCAGTGAGGGCTATTTCTATGTTAAAGTTTGCAATTTAATATCCAGCAAATGCAGAGAGGCAGCAGGGACTTTTTAGAGGTAATACATTTGGTTAGTCTGGCTTTGTTTTACAAAATGAAGTAGTTAGCTTTTCTTCCTCCTCCACAAACCACTTTCATCATCTTTGCTTAAAAATGTCAAAAGTATTTTGTAGACATGAATTGTTAAATTAAAAAAAAAATTATTTGCTAAAAGTGAGTGAAAATCCAGGAGTTGCAGCCACATACAATTACACAATCCCAAGATACACATCTTTAAGAGGCTAATGAAAGACCCATTAGATACATTCACTCACTGCTGACCCTGTTCAAACAGTTTCATTTGTGAGACAGCACAGGGAATGCAATACCATGCAACTCATGTGAATGTTGAAGGTGGGCATTCAGGAAAAGGCTGCAAAAGGAAGGAGATGGCAGCACTGGTACAGGGGCCAAAGAGGCCCTCAGTTCTCCAACCCTGCCCATTTCCAAGCCTCAGAGAAAGCCATGGGGATCCTGAGTGAGTGCAGGCAACAGCCCTGCTTTGAGTGGTAGACAGGATAGGACAGCCTCCCAAGATCCCACTAATGAACATTTCTGTTTCTGTACGCATCCTCAGCAAACAGACACAAAAATTACAGCTACAGATGAGAGAAAGCGGGTGAGAAGGGCTATATTTTGTCAAGGTGTTCCCATAAAGAAGTAGTCAGAGATCCTTCATCGCAGTTTCAGGATCAGAGATCCTTTCATCTCAGGTTAATGCTGATTAAGACCAGTTTTTCTGGAGGAGGAATTTGAACATTAGCTGATTTACACACACCGCTTATTTCTATCAGTGAGATGTTATCAGGCATTTCACAGAATCACAGAATGGGTAAAGTTGGAAGGGACCAAAGTGGGTCATCTGGTCCAACCTCCCTGCTCAAGCAGGGTCATCCCAGACCACATTGTACACAATTACATCCAGATGGTACCGGAATCTCTCCAGTGAGGGACACTCCACAACCTCTCTGAGCAATCTGTTCCAGTGCTCAGTCACCTGCATAGTAAAGAACTTCTTCCTCAGATTCAGGTGGAACTTGCTGTGCACCAGTTTCTGCCCGTTGCCTCCTGTCCCATTGTTCTGCACCACCGAGCAGAACCTGGTCCATTCCCTTGACATCCTCCCTTCAGATACTTACAGACACTGATGAGGTCCTCTTTCAGTCATCTCTTCTTGAGACTAAATAGGCCCAGTTCCCTCAGCCTACACTCATAAGAGAGATGCTCCAGTGCCTTAATCATCTTCACTGCCCTTCACTGCAACTGCCCCAGGAGCTTCACATCTCTGTTGTACTACGGAGCCCAGAAGTGGACATTAAACCAAATGTGGCCTCACCTGGGCTGAGTAGATGGCCAGGATCACCTCCCTTGCGATCTGACAATTAGGAAGACCTAATGCACCCCAAGATACCACTGGCCACAAGGAAACAGTGCTGGCTCATGGACAGCTTGTTGTCCACCAGGACTCCCAGGTCCTTCTAAGCAGAGTTGTTTTCCAGCAGGTCAGCTGTCAGACTGTACTGTTGCATAGGGTTATTCCTCCCCAGGTGCAGGACCCTGCATTTACCTTTTTTTGAAATTCAGACAGTTCTTCTCTGCCCATCTCTCCAACCCATTAAGGTTCTTTTGAAGGGCTGTGCAACCTTCTGGGGTATCGTTCACTTCTTCCAGCTTTGTGTTGGCAGTGAACCTGCTGAGGAGGTATCTGTCCCTTTATCCAAGTCACTGATGAGCAAGTTAAACAATACTGGACCCAGTACTGAACTTCAGGGACCCCACTAGTGACAGACCTCCAACTAGACCTTATGCCACAGATTATGACCCTCTGGGATCTGCTCTTCGGCAAGTTCTTAATTCACCTCACTGTCTACTCATCCAGTCCACACTTCCTGAGTTTGCCTATGAGGATATTGTGAGAGACAAGTGTCAAAAGCCTTGCTAAGTCAATGCAGACAATATCCTCTTCTCTCCCCTCATCCATCCAGGTAGTTGTCTCATTGTAGAAGGCAATCAGGTTGGTCAAGCATGATTTACCTTTAGTGAATCCATGCTGACTACTCCTGATCACCTTCTTTTCCTCCATGTGGATAGAGATGGCCTCCAGAATGAGGTGCTCCATCATCTTTCCAGGAACTGAGGTGAGTCTGGCTGGCTGGTAGTTCCCTGGGTCCTCCTTCTTGCCCTTTTGGAAGACCAGAGTGACATTTGCTTTTTTCCAGTCCTCAGGTACCTCTCCTGATGGCCACAGCCTTTCAAAGATGATCGTGAGCAGCCTTGCTATGGTGTCATGACAACGACACTTGAAAATATAGCAAATGGACACAAACTAAGCTCTACATATACAGCATTATCCAAAAATATTCCCATAACTAGTATCACAATGCTCAAAATAGTTTTCGAACATGGAACAGTTCTTAAACCAAAAAAAAGAATAATTTTAGCATTTCAGATATTAGCACAAAGCCTTTGTTTTCAGATATTAGCACCAAGACATTTTGCAGAACTGAGAGTTTCCTAAGCAGCAGAGTCTCCCTCACAGTCAGTGTAAGGGAAATACAGGAGAGAGAGATCAAACTCAAACCTTGTGCCTTCCTCCTATTTCTAATGCAGCTTGGAAAGATGATCTGATGTGGCAGTCCATTTTTCACACACACTAAGGTTAGAATCCATCTTATGGACACAAGTCTGATGACTATTTCTTAGATGACAAGGCTCTAATGTTATTTTCCTGACTCTAAAAAAACCCTGAAACTCCTTACATTTTAAGTAACTTCAATGAAGAGACCTTTCAAACAGTCCCTGGATGCAAAGTGAGGTGGTGCCTTCTCTCCACTACTCAGAGAGTAAATGTTAACGTATCACAACCTCCAGCAAAATAGACCTGTACACACTGTATGATGTCAAAAGGCAGAGCCAGGAATAGCTGCAGAGATAAAATCATACATAATCTCTGCATCAAGAGTTCCACATTTTAGGTTTGAAGCACACTGGCTAGAATAGCTTGGCTGTAGCTTTTGCAGTCACAGCTTGAGCTACAAGGGTAGAACAACAACAGCTTCTTATCTATCTGGTTTCTTATAGCAGTCTGGAATCAACATACATGCATTAAAAGAATCCATTCATGGTTTGGAGAGGAACAGGGATGTTGTGCATACTAATGTCCCTAGCTGTGTTAAGCCCTCAAAATCTGCCTGCACTAATACTCAGTCACTGCAATAAGTTTTGGTGAGGAAGGTACCAACAACAAAAAACCCAAGCCAAACCCCAGTCAAATCAGACTGCGCAGACAGTGTATATTGCATCTCTGGAGTATCAGAAGGAAGCCAGTACAGTCAGCAGTGGGAGGCCAGGGAAGCAAGTCATCCCTAGTGGGAAGGTTGGAGGCAGAGGGTGATGGTACTAAAGAGAAGCATGCCATCCACCACCCACCACTTGACCTGCTGGCCATTGTGCAGTCTCTGAAAGCTGATCTTGAGCACATTTTGAATTCCTCATCTTGTCCACCCCAGCAGCAAAGCCCCTACAGAGTGGCCAACATGTTGGAGAACACAAGGCAGTTCCCAGCTCAAGGCAGTCCTGACCTATAGAGAAGACAGGAGTAATAAGAGTAACTGATGCAGAAAATAAGGGGGGTGGAGTTGAGAAAGCATCCCAGAGAGGGCAGTAGGGACAGCAGCTATCTGGTTCACAGGAAGCATATGCAATGGTCATTAGAGTGAATTAGAGGGTTTTTTTCAGACTCCAATGAAACGCCAGGGAAAGGCCATGAAAAAGACTTGTCTTGATGACGTACAAGGAGGTTTAGTTTCATATTTATCTTTTGCATTGCATACTGTACATGTGGGATCTGAAAGCAGGGATGCCCAGGAGGCAGTGCAGCTTGCCATTTAGCTGTATGTAGCTTGCACCTCAGTCAGGTTTCACACAACAAAACTGGCCTTCTGGAAAATAACTGAGATCTGCACGCAACCACTGATTTCTGAAATGCTGAAACCAGAAGGACAAAGGGCACCTACCAGTTCATCTTCTACCCGTGCCAAACACTCGCTATATCCTGATGGCTATATCTTAGTGAATAAATTAAAAAGAATCAGAATTTTTTTTTTAGTGCTTCTAAAACATCCTATTTCACTAAAGCGTGTAGGCAATAAGAAGTTGTCTGAGTAGGAATTTTTGAAAATATATGAAGTTCATACTGTGCCAAAGCCCTTTGCAGAATAGGCACACACTACTGCACTGGGACTCAGAAAGACAAGAAACATACTTCATCAAAATCTTGTTAAAAATACATAATTGAAAATTTTTCATTTCTTTTTGCTTATGTACATGAAATGAATTTTATGCATTTGCATTATGAACCACAGAACTATGGCTTATAAAAAAAATGCTATTTTATTTCTGTATTATCACCCAAAATATTTCTGTTTTTTCATACCCCACTGCACTGCTGGCTGACTTTTCCATTTAGGTGCTCTTATGCTTGGGGGGACTTCAGCAGTAAAGACACCATTCTCCTACACATCTGTAAATATATGTATATGCATCCCTTATATATTTTATTTATTTAGATATACTAAGAAAAGCATTGCAAGTTCTTGAAAAATACAAACCTGAAGTGTCCCTGCAACATGCTTGTCTTTATCCCTGGGAAATTAACTGTATTTTATTATTATTGTGTATTGTTCTATTCCTTTACCCAAGTGTGTGTTTCTACCTGTCAGACTGCACTGTAAAGACAAGAAAATCTGTAAAAGGAATGTTACAATAGCAGATGGAAAGGTAAAGCAACAAAATGAAAAATCAAAACATGGCGAAAACAATAAAGCAGCAAATAACCCACTGACGCGAGGCTGCAAAGCTGCTGGAGAAAGCTCTGGACAGGCATCAAAAAGCTAAGCTGGAGAGCTGGTGCCTTAAAATGCTGAGTGCTTCTAAAAAACAAGAGAGGTTGGTGGTGGATTGCTGAGTGGAAGTAGTATTTCCACATGCATTAAAAAAATGCGGGGACATCACGAGCACTGTCCAGTACCACAGGCTGCTCCTTCCAACAGACATGGAGAACAGGTCGAAGTTCTCCATGCTGCAGGCAGACAGCTAAACCTTAGGCACGTGAATACACATTTAAATCTCTTTGCGTATAAATATGCATATAAAGATACCTTGCAGGTCTTCACAAGCATAAACTTAATTTTTATGAGTTTTTCTTTTTGCTATTGTTCTTCTCCTCATTGCAAACATAAACCTATCTAAATCCTGAGGAAAAAAAAAATCCATGGAGGACAACCGCTTGACTGTGTTGCACTAAACCTGGGGTGATTGCGTTGAAAACGAGAGAAAAGTGAACTCTACTCAGACGGTAGGAAATATTCAAAGGCTTGATGGAGCATACCTGTACTTAGCTGACAGCACCAGACAGCTATATAGTAGCCTTAAGCTCTACGGGGCACTATGTTGCAGAAGCTGCATGTGTTTTGTCTGGGGATGCCTTTTCATGCATTCAGCTTTGTGTGCACTCACTTTCAAGACAGGAAGAATCAGAGGCATTCAGATGGTTTTGTTGTAGTAAAATCCAACCAATTCTTCCTTCCACACTTCTACGGAAAGTCCTTTTGCTCTTTAAGAGTGCTCCTCCTCCTCCTGTACACAAGCAGTGAGCACAGAATATGGAACCTTGGATCTGGTGTATTTGACTACTGTGGTCTCATGGAGCTTATTGTTGGTTTCACCTCACTTGCAGAGAAGAAGGGAGCCAAACCTTCATGGAAACCCATATGCTGAAGAAAATTAAGCATGCCTTCTGCAAATACCACACCATCAGTTTCAGCCAATATATACTTCTGTTAATACCACTGTCGTCCCAAAGCCAAATCCAAACTTTGCTCACCTTCTTCATGTGATTTGTCCCAAATAAGAGTTCCAGCAGCCTGTTGTAACCAGAGACAGCATATACAATTCCAAATCACATAAAATCATATCCAAATCTCGAGACGTTATGTCTGAGAATTGCATAAATGCATCTTTTTTTAAAAAATGGGTTCATTTCACAGACAGTCTGCTACCCAACTTAGAGATCTTTACATATGCTTTTGCATCTCCCTTATGAATTGTCTGCTGGAGTTTCTGACAAAGTTGATGTTTATGTGGGTTGTCCAGTGATACCTCTTATACTAGTATCACAAATATCAGTCTTCCTTTTCCGATTGTCTTCTTTTTCCATTTGTCTTCTTTACAGAGAGTTTGCACACTGATATTGTACAATATATTGTAAAAATGCCCAGTGAAGTAATGACACCTGTTTTTAAAGAACAATTTAAATGTGCTAATAAGTCTACATTTAGCCATAGAGAGCAAAAAGGCCTTTTCTACTTTACCATGATAAAGTGTCTAAGAAAACGTATTTTCATTATTAGGGAACACAAACTCATAGGAAGTTCATGCAGAACTGTTCAGAAGGAACTGCTATCCAAATGAATGTGGTAGCAGTCCATGGTCAATGAAGAGTATGGGATGAACTTTAAAAGGGAAGGGAGGAGTACGAACAAAGACATTTTCTTTCTCCTATCTGTATTTCCAGCTGCATAGTTGTGGCTTGCAACAAGTACTATTCCCTTCTGCATTCCACAAGAAGAGAACAGGGGAAAATGAGTACCTTGAGCCAAACCACCTCTTAAATTTTTGCCTGAACATGACTCTATCCAAAACATACAGCAATGGTGAAGCCAACAGACATATGGAAATAGCATAAAGGAGAGAGCAAATGGCACTCACATGAGAAAAGACTTGAAACTACAAATTGATGTTACATGGCTACAATATGTCAAGCATGCTCGTTTACAGCTAGGGCTTCCCAGGACTTAGAAGCAATCTCTTATTTGAAGATTAATATAGTTTCCCAGCACACACACTGCACTGCATAATTGATGCAACTCAAGACTTGCTGAAAGGCTTTCTGGGAACAGGCAAAGGACAATTTGTTTTTTTTTTCTTTTTTTTTTCTTTTTTTTCTTCAAGCATTAGGTAACAATGAAATACAACAGAGCTTGCATTCCTAGATAAAAGCATTTCTAAATTTTGAATATTAAATAACAGTAATCCCACACATTTTACATTGTGCCTATCATTCTGAGAGATTCTAAAAACCTTTACAGATGAAAATATTTGGCATAGATATATTCTATATTCTTCTATTTCAGCTGGGGCATGGGTGTCACAGTCATATGTTATTCAGTCATTAATGAAATTCTGCCATACAATTGCAAGATTTGCTCTGTGCAACCTGCAGAACTAAAGAGAGATCAAGCAATGATCAGCGCTGCAGGTCACTTATAAGGCACATTCCCAGCAAAGGCTAGCTATGTTTTTCATTTCAGTTGCCAAGTCTATTCTTTAACGCACTTTAGAATGGTCCAGAAACCTGACAAAGAAAATAAAACAGAAGGGGAAAAATGAGGTCCTGTCATATAAAATAATTCCTTTTTCTGACAGGTCTAATAAAAACAAAAGTTAAAACTAGGGTTACAGACATGATTGTTGAGGAATACATCTGGTGCAGGTAGTTCAGTTTGCAAGCTGCAGATTGAGATGCAGATTGAAATGCGGATTGAGCTCTGGGTGGGATCCTGAGACAAGACATTTACCCTACGGTAAATGAAGAGTAGGAAGATGGGTGGTGCCAGCCAGGTAGATGGACACTGAGAGACATAGCAGTGAACTACCTACCTTTTGGATAACAAAAGGCAGGAAGATCAGTAGAGCCAATCAGGTGGATGCACACTGGGAGACACAGCAAGAGTAGAGGACTCAGGAGGAAGAGGGTGTCCTGCATGCACCTTGGACTGCGAGCAGATAAAAGCTCAGCAATTCCTTGGTTGGGAGTCCTCCTTGGAGGTGCCCAGCTCAGATTGTTTCTGTGTTACCGCACCACAAATTAATTGCTTTATGTAACTTTATGTCTCATCTGAGACTCTGCTATGGGACATCTGGGGTCAAACCACTAAGGAAACCTCTTCTGACTGTGCGTGAGTGGAGTTTGTAGGGAGTCAAGCAGGGCACCTGTTGGCTCAGCTGGAGTTGCCCACTGCAAAAGGGCTTTGGTACCAGCAGTGAAAGTCTCTGGTGTTGGGAGTGTGACTGCCAGAGTCTTGTGAATGGTCAGACTGGGAAGTTTCCTTAACACGGTGGAGAAGATGGACATTACAGTGGTGTCTCTACTTTCCAATTTAAAGTAGCAAGAAGATGCAGGCCTCATTTGCCTATGGGGTTTTAAATCCAGTATCTCTGAGATGAGTGCTTTAATTTGGGGCGTCAGTGTCTTCCAAAAGTGCATTGAACTCAATGCTCTCATACCGAGATCCCAATGTCACTCACTTAAAATGGAGGCAATAAGAGAGTGGTTGTACAGGCTGGTGGAGACAACATCCACTAGAGAGAGAGGGATAACTGAGAATAGGGATCATGTTCTGAAAATAAACAGCAAGAACAAAAATAGAAAGTAGTCCAGATTACCTCTGATCCTCATATGAGAGAGGAATAAGAAATGAAATTTTAAAATTTCACTAGGAAAAAATTAAGCCGAATTTGGGTGTGGCCTCCTGGTCAATCTTCACGTTGTAAGTATTACACAATTTGGTAGTAGTAAACCAAAGCCATTACCCCTCCTTTTCCAGTGGATCAGCCAGTAAACATCTTACAGTACAATTTTACTTACAGACAAAACTATAAAGTGAATTCACCTTGACCTTTGATATTTCACCTTCAATTTTCAATCCACCCCCATGCCGATCAATACAAAATGTGGTATCAGCTCATACTTCATTTTTATCAGCTCAGCACAATGGAAGAGTTAAATGTATCACTGAAAGTTTAGACATCCTTGTCCATTTTCACAGCTCCCAAAATATCATTAACACTTCTAAATATTTTATTCTGGCACACGTGAAAAGACATTGTTGGGCTTTCAAGTCTCTGCTAGGTTTTCAAGGAAAATCTGAATTAGATTAACCCTAAAACAGGAAGCTAAAACTGATTTTTGCATGAATACCTCGAGAGTATTAAACTTTTAGCTTGTACAACACAGATCCCTCTGGTTCCATATAACGTCACTCACTCTGATGACACAGTTATCACAGAGAGCAAAACCAAAGAAGCACAGTTCACAGCACCGTAAGTCTAGCCAAACAAAGTCTGGGCTGGCCCAGACCAAGCCTAGCCACAAATTCCAGTTTGTACAGAGCTCTCAGTGATCTCCAGCTACTCAGATAAGGAAACCTTTCTCTTCAGGTTTATTTACTTACTGATTTTTCTTGTGGGCTCCCACTCGGCACCTCCACAACTCTGAGGTCACCATCCATCCTCAACCTTGCCCTTGTGACAAACTGGATGACCGAGGAACTGTCCTGAGAAGTAAAAAGAGGAAGAATTAGATTTAAGGGTGCAAAACAACAACACCAACAAAAGCACCAATCCCCCCGCCAAAAAAAAACAACAAAAAACCAAACCATCAAAATTTGCCAGTGTAATAAAAACATCTAGACAAAGCTTAGTAGAGGTTAGGTTGACAGTTAAACACTAGCCTGGTTAAAACGCTGCTTTGAAAAAATATTCCTAATGCTCATAACAGACAGATATAACTGAGCACAATATTTCAGAATAAAACAAAATCAGGTATGTTGGACTTTAAACACATACTTTGTATTTGGTTTGTTCATGTTTTCCACATCTACCAAAAAAACAAGACAGAATATTGCCAATAACACAGGTAGGCTCAATATTAACCATGAAAAAAAGCTCTGAATTGTTTTTCAATTGGACAGAAAAATGATATACAAAATCTGGGACAAAATCTAATATAACCCAAGGGGAAAACTTCTTAATTATTTAAATCTGTACATGGCAGATATCTTAAATATTTACTGTACATCTTGTCTTATTGATATATATTTCTGCCATGAAATGCATGGTGCATTTTGACAGGCACATTTCAGTAAGATGCCATTTCAACTTATAGGTTAGTCATTTGTATGCAGTTCACCTTGGGAAGGGTAGGTGGTAAGTAGCAAATGGCACTCATTGGTGATACTGACCCAAACACGTGTAAACACTGTACATCTTTTAAAGGGTTGTTGCTAATAGTAATCTTGCAAGGCACCCAGCAGATGGGGTGAATCCTGGCTATTCCCAAGCCTCAATTTTCCAGAAGCATATTTTGTGTGCACTCAGTTACTTGTTTACATATTTCAGCATTTCTATAAGCATGTAACAAATACCTGAATTTTCTGGCCTTGCCTGTATTTCCTATTTTCAAATACAAACAAACATTAATAGACTCATTGGTTTCAATTGGAAAAGCTCAGGGCGATAATTACTTTAGCAACTGTTTTCTAATTAGGGTGCTCTCTGATGCTTTTAATCTAGCATTTATCAAAGACAGGTTTATTTTAGTAGGCTCATGTTATCAGCCTTCTCCTCTGGTTATCTTAAACCCTCATAATCTTACAGCATCTTGCCACAATTAGAGAGTCAGTATTTTTGTAAGTAAAGGAAAAGAGGTCAAAATGTACTAAATCACTAAGAATTTAGGATTTGTTGTCTCATTCAGTGTCTTTAGAGAAGACAGAAATTAACTTGCAATCATTTGTTTTGTGTCATAAACATCAAGCTCAGCATTAATACATTCATGATGCATATTCTTTGAATAATAATAATTTGAAGTAAAAATGACAAAAAACTACCATCTCTGTTTACACAGAAAGAATGATACATAGCTGGTCATAGTTTAGATTCACTTACTCTGCCTTTCGTTTTTCAGAATGAAAACTTTCAGAAATCAATTCAACTTTCAGAAGTCTCTAGCCTTAACACCACACCCCAACGATTAGGGGACTCATTTGTTATTTCTCAATATATAAATTTCTGAACTTAATTTATTCCTGTCTTAATGTGTAATGGGTAAGAACTAGGATTAACACCTCCATACACACTGTTGATAAATAGATTTGTTTTCCTTGATGCCATAATATTTTTTAACACACTAGTAAAGAGAGGAAGAAATTCAAGTTTTGAGTTCACTGGCACACATAAGCACACTTAAGTTGGTATTTAAGACAACCTACAAGGGAAGCACGCACCTTCTTGAGTATCTCAGTATTCAGCAGCATGTAGATACTTATATCACAGGACTCTGCTTTGGGTAGTGAGCTTAAGTTGCAGTGTATAATTAAGCAGGACCTGCCTGGTCTTTCACAATCCTATAGGAAATATGGAAAACGCCGTTAGGCGAAGGAGGTAAAAATTCAATGACAAATTGTGTGATAGCAAATAGAGCAGAAAATTAGGTATATAGTAAACTGCCAGAATACAGCACTCTTACACTGAAATATCAGAAACTTTCAAGACCTGAAGACAGCTGAATACAGAGACCTGAATGACAGCAAGCCAGCTAACAAAATTCAGCCCTCTACAGAGGTGCTGAGCCAGGCAAGCACCCTGGAAGGGGCAGGGCCACTGCTGCACATCAGCCCTCTGTGTGGGTCAGGCACCAAGTACAGTGCCTCACTGCCCCCATGTGCCTTTGGCAGAACAGGGGAGCGAAGGTTCTGGTGACCAACTGTGTTATATATTCAGTAAAGTGTTGCTCTACAGTGAACAATCTGCTTCAGATCTTCATGCCAAGCCATGCAAAATCGTTTGTAGAATATGCTGTATGTCATAAGTGGTGCCATTTCTTACCAATACTTTTCTGCCAGACTTTGTGAAAAAAGCAAATATTGTGTGGAAAATATTTTCATTCTCTTGAGGAACAACACATGGGCTGTGGTTTCTGTGGAAAGAACAGCTTCCTTTGTCCTGGCCAACCTGCATGCACAATTATAAATCACAATTATTATTCTGAATTAAGCTAAATTATATGAGAAGGTGGGATTAGCCTGTCCATAAAAATACACCTATATGTGAGCTATATGTCTGGCCTGCCATTAATTGCCAAAGGAGAAAAATAACCACTTTGGGAGTCAAATAAGCCCAAAGAAAATATCGGAAATAAGCCAGACAAACCATGCTTTGGAAATGCTTTGACTGGATAGGACATGAACATGTCTAACCTAGCTCACATGTAGGTGTCTCTGTTCTACATGTCTGAAGATAGAGACAGAGGAGAAAAATCCCAGCAAAATATATAAAACCACCTCATTGTATTTTAAGTCAACGGTGTTACCTTTGTATTACCTTCTTTGTAACTGTGTTTATTTGATGTTTTGGCCAACTCAGCTGTTTCCCTGCTTATATCAGAACTAATGAGATAAATGACATCTTCCTCTAAATGCTCAAACCTCGACTCTCTTTCACCTTCAGCAGAAATACACAAAGATAAACTTTTTGGATCATTAGCGTTTTTACTTGTCCAGCAAAGCAGATGATTGAAGCAAGTGAAATGTACCAAGCTCTGTTAAAATGAGTTTCAGTTAAGATAACCTTGTTCTAGAAAACCCTTCTCAGTTTTTGCAGCTTATAAACATTCACTGAGGAAAATCTACCAGAATTTAATAAAAAGGATGACAACAAAGTATCAGCAAATTCCTCCTGCTGCCATCCTTAAAACTTATAAGAGTGTGTCTTGGTTTGAGTTGCCCCCCCTGGGAGCTGGGGAGCCTAGAGATGATTGGTCCCAGGAGAGTTTCCCCTGAGGGACCAATCAGAGCTGTTCTTTTTTGCTCCTGTGAAAATTAGATATCAACAACAGCGGGAAGTTGTTGGCAGAGTGTGTGAGAGCGTGTAAGAGAGAGAGAGAGAAGCTGAAGGGGTGGATGGGCCCCCCCCCTCCCCGAACCCAGGGGGTGCCCTGTGCCCCAGTGGCCCTGGCTTGGCCAGGGCTGGAGGCACCATGTAGGAGTGTTCTGTGTGTAAGAGAGAATCAGAGACATGAGGGGTGGCCAGGGGAGCCTCTGGACCAGAGGGGCCCTCGGGCCTCCTCGGCCTTGCTTCAACTAGGGCTAGGGTGGTTCCCTCGCCGGTTCTTCCCCTCCACTGCACAGAAGAAGCGGACAGAGTGGACTCGGAGGCCAGTCAGGAGAGTTGCAGCTCCCTGTTTCCCTGGCAGGCATGCTCGGTACTGGAGCCGAACCAAGAGAGGGGCCAGAGAGGCTCGGTTGCCAGGAGAAACAGTTGCTATTCATTGCAACAGTTGGAAGAACTCAGGCAGAAATTGGAGATGGGCCAGAGAGGGCTTGGAGGTGCTCTACGTTGGGTTTGGACATGGACTACCGAAACTGGAAGCTGCAGCAGCTAAAGAAGAGTGAGAGAGCCAAACAAGCAGGTTTTTCCTGGGTAAGGACTTTAAACTATTTGGGGTAAAAAGAACTGAGCAGAGACCCAGAGCCTGCAACCTGGAGGGTGAGAGCAGAACATCTTACCCCTGGGAGGAAACCTTCACGAAACCAGGGAGGAAGGACTCAGAACTGACTCCCTTGACCTTTCGTGATGAAGATCCTGATGGTGCAAGCTGTTTCCCTTTGCAGCTCAGGATAGGACCTCAGCATGAAGCTAAGGGCTGGTGGGGGTTTCAACCCTTTCTCTGATACCTCAGTGAGAGACTTTTCACTATCGCTCTGAAGACTTCTCCCGAACTGATGTGGGAGGGTCCAAGGAGTGGTAGAAGCTGTGTTAATATTGTGTATATAATTGTTTTTTAGTTTGTATAGTATTTATTTTGTATAATAATAAATTGTATATATTCCCTTCCCCTATACTGAGTTGTGCCTGCCTGAAAACTTCTCTTTGGTGTTGAGGTAAATTGTGGGGGGGAGGACTGAAAATTGGAAATTGGATTTTTGAGGGTCTCGAACTGTGACAGAGTGAGAGAGAGGGAGATTTTCCCCATAAACCACCAACTGACATTCTTACACATCCTGCTGTTGACATCCTCACATCCTCTGACAGGATGTACCTTATTCAAATAAAAAACCCTCAAAAGAGGGAGGAAAAGAGTTGTTATAGATATGAAATTGCTGCATGCTCTGAGTCTGATTAGGCATCAAATAGTTAAGTATTGCAAAAAAGAAGCAAACCCCAAAGACCTATCTAGATTTTAAACATTATTTTCCAGATAAGTGATGTCTGTGTCTCTTGGAAAGATGTACCTTTTCTGACCCACAAGTTCTTCATGATCTGTTAGTTGAAGTATGTGTCCATAACCTGTCTTTACATAATCTGTCCTTACATTCCTAAGAGAGGCACCCACAGTTTACAGTCTCATTGGGATAAACTGAAAATTAAGACTACGATATTCATCATTTGTCCAGATCACCTGAAATGAGTTTTCATTATTTATTGTAGGTAAGAGACTCATAAAGCTCATGGACATTCATTTTCTTTGATCTTTCACATGGAAATTAGATCCATATCAACTTGAAAGGTTTATGTTAACTATGAGTAGCAAAAAGTCAAGATCTATTCAGTACTTGCTCTTTCTTCCTGAAAGTTTAAATTACCAGACACTTGGGCAGATGTCATCAGATTCATGCAAGAGATACAGGAAGGACAGTAGGAGTTTCAGCACTATACCAGCTCTTGGTATACTCTCCAAATAGTCCCGCTTTACATCCTGTAAAAATATGGTGTAAGAACAACCAAAGCAGAAATATCTCACAAGACTAAAAGGAATTATCCAGCAGGAAGCAACACAAATATGGTCCTTTCTCCTCTAAATGATTATCTTTTCTTAAACTGAAGGCTGGCATCCTTTTCAAAACATTTTAGCCAAAACAGAGAAAGGCGCCTCCAGAGGACCAACTCTGAACTTGGAAGTACTCTTTCCTCTCTATCAACTACACAGCAATCCTACATGAGGCGGTTACTAAATTCAGTCCATATTAGGAGGGAAACAGTAAGAACCAAGCACCTCCTGTAACCTGCACGGCTTTGGAACAGACCAGCAGGTCACCTATACCCTGTTTTAGTAGCCAAAGGCAGAGGTTACTTCCTAGAAGCAGACGCTACTACTTGGCCTGCAGAATGTGGGGGAATTCAACCAGCCAGAAATCAAGTCAGACTCATCTGTATGCCTGTGATCAATCAGTGTGTGCCGACAGCCAATAGGCAGGAAAGGACGCAAGGCATCTGAGCAGCACTCTGTTTCTTTTAGCACTCTTGGAAACCACAGAGCCATAAAACTAGGAAAAAATTAACAAAAAACTTTTAAATGAGTGGATCAGGTTGAGGTAGAAGGAGATCCATCCTTTCCAAAGGACTGGCCACAGTTGGTTTGGTGGGGGTTTTTTTAGCTATTTTGGTTTATTTTGTTAGGGTAACTTTCAGACACATTTCACATCATCTCTTATTCTCAATTTTACATGCATCAAGGTTCAGTCAACCAGTCAGAAAAAACTAGGGCAACTTTTCAATAAACTGCTTTCAATGAAATATTCAGCTGCAGGAAAACAATCAGGTAAATAAAATCTTAGTATAAAGCTCCAAAATGCTCCTCAGCATTATGCTGAGACTAAACTGCATCTGTGAAATACAAATCATGATTTGGCCTCATTGTAAGCCTCTTGTTGTTCAAACATTATGCTACTCCAGCCACTTGTTTTTCTCCTTGTGACCAACCTCATAATTTGGTACACAGAGAAGGGAATTTCCGGCAAAGTTTAGGGGCTTTGCATGGGCAAATGCTTCCGATGTACAAGTCTTTGAAATGGAGTAGGAAGCCAGGCTTTTTGTCAGACTTAGACTTTCAGGGTACGTGGCAAACCAGAGCTTTTTGGAAATTTCCATGTGGTCTCAGCAGCCTATAAACAGAAGAGGACTATCCTCCAAAGTGATCTTCCCAGGACCTGGGATTCAACATCTCACAGAAACAGCAGAAAGGATTTTTTTTTGAGCAGTGCATAGGATGTGGAAAGAGATGTGCATTGTCTTTGTACTCAGTACAAGGACTATACAGAAGCCACAGAGAAATGTCACCATTCAACTCCTAACACAAACAAACAACAAAACTGGGGTGGGGAGAACAGGGACAAAAGGGAGGCTTTATTAAATTCTACTTTAAGATTGCAGATTGGGAAATAAAAACCTGCCCTAAGAGAGGTACCAAGCAGGAGTAGCCTCTTAAGGAGGGACTTCCAAGGAGCTGTGTTGCAGCTGTCTCTGCTGAATGTTGTTTCATCCTGTTTTCCAGAAGCTACTTATTCGTTTTAAGTCCTGAATAAAATCATTTGCAGTCTGGTGCACTGGCAATACAGAATGGTGTCCTGTACATGAAGTGTACCTAAAATCTATACTGAGACAAAGGTAGACAAAGTGTACCTTAGCATATAATGTAGGCCAAAGAAAAAGGTAAACGAGGCTAACTGCCTGGCATCCTCATCACCTGATGTCCATATTACACTCTTTTGTAACTTGCTGTGAGTTTGGTCCTGGGGCCTGAATGTGCTGCAGTCACAAATGAATGGCTGACCTAGTAAATTTCACTGAACAGCTTTACACTGCAGAAAAAAATAGCATAAAAATAATTTCAAAGATCTTAAATTATTTTTTACTTTTTCTCCTCCTCTATATTCAGTAGTCTATGTTGTCACATACAGTCTAGACTACCACACGTCATGAGTTTTTCTGAGGTGATAGCATAACATTTTTGTAACACAAAAGTAGATACCATTAACTACTGATCCTAGCATTAAACTCCTGGAAAACTTTTCTAATTAAAAAAAAATGTATTTTTTGCAAAGAAATTACATTTTCAGAGTTTCAATTCTAAACTGAAAAAATTGTAAGGGGGTGATATTCTGATAGAAATCAGAACATTTTATAAAAACTTTTCAAAAAAAAATTTATAACTTGATATATTTATTATTTGTCTT